GTATGCAGATCGTGTTTGCAAGGGCTTGTGTATTTATTAATTGAGAAGATTTGAGAAGTCGATTTTTATCGTCAAGCTAAAAGCACTTGTTTTTATATATGTATTTATGCAATACAAAAGTACGTAACGATTTTGATTATCATTTAATGTTCACTATATTGTCATAATATTAGTTGCTTTAAGGACGAAATTTCTAACACAAATAAATATATAATTAATTACGTAATGTATACCTCTGTAAACAGAAAAATTTTTTATACCACTGAGGTGGCAAACAAGCATACGGCCCACCTGATGGTAAGTGATTATCGTAGCCTATGAAACTCTGCAATACCAGAGGTATTACGCGCGCGTTACCGACCCTGAAGAAACCTCTTTACCCCCCTTTGGAAGAACCCCATGTTATAGTCTCTTGGGAAAACCTCTGCAGTTACATATTTGCGAAGCTTAGATATATCTATAATACAAAATCCCTAACTAACATCAGCACTAATATTGTGTTATATACTGCCTGTTCTCACGTGACTTAGCCTATATGAATCAGTATAGGTACTATAAGTAAAGACTAAAGTGTTTCAAGTAAACACTAAGTTAAAACCTGCGTTAAGTTATGACCTATCCATATATTAAAAGTCATTCAGATCCGTTCCTCGATTTAAAAATGAAAGATTCACAAAAATTTATATTTATCTGTATACATAAATACTCACAAACTTTCGCGTACATAATAATACAAAGATATATGTAGGGCTCCTTTGTTTACACAACTAATACCCCCCCCCCCCCACCTCTGTACTGAAAAGGGATACCTCTACCTCAATCAGTTCAGCGGGGTGCATCTCTTGTGAATGGGGTTTTTACACGCAACCTTTGTTTTGCCTACATGTGTACACGTACCTACTGCATGACTAATATGTTTACAGACTGCTGTAAAAAAAGGAGTATAATGTGAAGAGAAACCCTGAAGGTTTATCTATGCTAGTTTCTCTGTTCCACTATAACTAAATGCCTGTACAGTTTTGGATGTAATCCCCAGATCATCCCGAGTGAAAATATCTGTATAAATATTTTTTAATAGTTTTTGGCGGGTAGTCTTGATATTTTTTTTCATTTACGAAACAATGTATCTGTTTTTGCTCATGACTTTATATTCATGGAGTTTGAAAATAGATTTGTTTAATTATATTTTACCTATGAGGTATATTCATTTTTATTGACTAAATTTAGTTCAAATCTCTTCTCGTTTCTGGGAAATAGTATACTCTGTTATGTCTATGGTACTACTGCTCATGTCTATAAACGACGGTTACCACTTTCCATCAGGTGTGCCGTCAGCTTGTTAGCCACTCTATGTGTTATAAAAAAAAATCGACTCCAATCGTGACAAAATCAATACTTTGATTTAAATACTTTATTACATAACCGAATTGGATAAAATTTCTACAGTAGTCCCATATGAAAGTATATCCTATCAAATAAAAAAAAAATACTAATCGATTTATAACTAACGGAGTTATGCCGTAACAATAATAAAAAATACCATGGAATTGTAAGCCTGCTACTTTTTTTTAATCGGTTGAAATATATCATTGTTAACTGGACCCTTAACAATACACAGTTAGTATAGAGACTTGTAACTTTGGAGTGAATAGTTAAACTTCTCTAAGAATAATTACGCTGCCATCATCATCATCATATCAGCCGTTAACTGTCCACTGCTGAATGTAGACTTCCCCTTTGAGAGGTTTTGCCTATAACTGCCACACTTAGCAGGCGGGTTGGGAACCGCTGTTACTGTTTGGTGATTTTTAAAGAGACATGCTGCTGTCTATCTCTCGACCATTAATTTCCCTTAGCCGCTTCTTACAATTAAGACTATGCTTCATTCTTAGATTATATAGATATAGTATCTCCGAAGAAATGCTTCGAGAATAATGGGTCAACTTTTTTATAAAGTTTTGCGTGATAAATAGTTATGAGTGATTCCTTTATAATTTCTATATTTATTTTGTCTTATAAATTCTGCATCTTTTTTAATGCGTAAATACTCATTTTATTAAATAATACGTCAAGATACATTGTATGCGTTAATACGAGGTTTGTCCGGAAAGTACGTATAAAAGTTTTTAAAAATTTTATTTTACAATTATTCAGGTAAATCAATTTTATCCCCTTCAAAGTACTCCCCCTGTGACATAATGCACTTGTGCCAACGCCGTTTCCACTGTGAGAAGGCTCCTTGAAAGTCCTCTGGTTGTAGGTTTCTCAGCTGCCCCGTCGTAGCTTTTTTTATCTCATTTATGTCCCCCAAATGCCGCCCCCGAAGTACCAATTTGGTTTTTGGGAACAAGAAGAAGTCACACGGGGCCAAATCCGGCGAATAGGGGGGGTGTTCGGTCACCGTAATGGAATTTTTACTCAAAAACTCACGGACAACAAGAGAGGTGTGGGCAGGGGCATTGTCGTGGTGAAGAATCCAACGCCCCTCTCGCGCCAATTCTGGACGAACTCGTGCCACACGAGCTTTGAGGCGTCTGAGCACATCGACGTAGAATTTTCCATCAACTGTCTGGCCTGGAGGGACGAATTCTTGATGGACAATCCCCCGAACATCGAACTCTTTCTCGGCCCTCTCTGAATCTTTTCACAGCATCATCCCCATAAACTGTTCTGAGATCGGCAAAAATTTCACGGCCATTCTTGCCGAGTTTCGAGAGAAACTTGATTACGACGCGCTGCTCTTCAACGGAAGCGGGCTCCATGCCGACGGGGTTTCGTTAAGAGGTAACTTCACAGATGGCGTGACAAGCCAGTTCGCACCGCACGGCGGTCAGACCAGAACTGAAGCATTGTTAGGGACATAAGGAAGGGGTCCTGCGCTTACCTGGCCTCCCCACTCCTCTTTCTCGCATTCCAGAACACTTTTATACGAACTTTCCGGACAGACCTCGTATATAGAATACTGATAAAAAAAAACGAGTCAGCTAATGTGACAATTAGCTTACAAAACGAGTCAGCTAACTTGACAATTAGCTAACAATACGCGTCAGCTATGTTGACAATTAGCTGATAAAAGTTGACCCGTTTTTGAGGCTCGAGGCTCTATCCATATAATCTAAATCTACCTCATACTACAAATAAAAATAAAATAGCAAAGTTATTTGTATATTGTATAATTCGTTATCATTATATCAAAACATTATTACGGCCTAAAGGAAGATACAAATTCAATTTAGCATAACATCTGGTAACGACTGAGTAATACTCCGACCTCTCGTCCCGAAGTAATTTAATTATTTAACGATCTTACCACCAAACTGAATGCTCGAGACATGTTTAAAGGAAATACTAGCATATCTACATAGTATAAAACGAAGTCACTTCCCGCCGTCTGTACGCTCTGATCTTTTAGATTACGCAGCGTATATTAATGTAGTTTTCATCAATAAATAGAGAGATTCGAGAGCAAAGTTTATATGGATAATTTAATATTGTTTTTTTTTTATACAACTTACAATAGCAAACAAGCTGACGGCCCACCTGATGAAAAGTGGTAAAAAACTCCGTGTTGCCCCGAAAAAGTTAAACTTGCGACAAAACCGCGTTCAATACTTGTTAAGACATTTTACTATAAGAATGTTTAACACCTGTTTATAGCAAAGACAAAAAGAAAAAAGAAACGGCGTGTATTTTTTTTTTTATACAACTTAGAATGGCAAACAAGCCATCAGCCCACCTGATGGAAAGTGGTAACCGTCGCCTATAGACATGAGCAGTACCATGGACATAACAGAGTATACTATTTCGTCCATGATATCCCCATGCATTGCTATTCCTGAGGACTTAGGTGTTATTCCTCTGTACCCAGTAAATTCACGCCATATCCCAGCCTTCAAACCGAAACACAGCCATGCAAACACAATTGCTTCACGGTTGAAACACGAATGGGACAGAGGTACCCAAGCAATCGAGTTTTGTACAAAGTTTCCCTCTGGTATTAAATTAGATTATTATAATTAAATAATAATCTTCAAATTTTGGCATATAAAAAGACAAATAAATCTTATTACATTGAGTAAACAATATTTCACTTAGAGTTTTATTAAATACTTAAATAATTCGCGTCACAGTCACTCATGACTAAAGATCACGAAATGATTCCGAATCTAGTCGAGCTTTTTCGATCTAATTACATGTAGGTTAAACTGGTAGTTATTACATGAAAATATAATGTGTACTTACGAAACTTTTAACAATAAAAATAAAAAGAGGTTTGTTTGAATCGAAGTATTTGGCGTTCCATTGTTTCTGTCTATCTTAACGGGAGACATACCACTTTCCATCAGGTGAACCGTCAGCTTGTTTGCCATTTTAAATTGTATAAATATATATATACATATATATATATATATATATATATATATATATATATATATATATATATATATATATACAATACATAAGCTGTATTTAAGAAAAAATAATATGAGAGATCTTAATAACATTAACTGATACCAAAAAAATAATATATTTTAGAAATTTTGTGTGTACGACTATTATTGGCGACCGGCCGATGCAAACTCTTTAGACGTTATTGTACTTTTTTATATACATTTACTTTTAGAATATTCTTATTATTTGTAATTTTATATTTTTTTGACATATTGATTTATTGTTCCTTGCTCGCTGTTCAATACATATATTTCGCTACTAAATTCCGTGTCTACATCATTTCATCACCTCATCACAGTCCACCGCTCCGTAATATTTGGTCCTTCGAGCCGGATCGGTTACACAACTCGTGGGCACCCCACGTTCGGTAAAAGCATTATCTCGCTGTACCAAGTGCCCTGGTGACCTCTCTAGCCAACTTCAAAAAATCGATGCCCGGGCATCTTCCCAAAACGTGCAAAGTCGTTGCGGCCAACAATCTACTAGTGAACATTCACGATCGTCATTATCATCGAAGAATGACACGATTTAGGAAAAAAAAATATACGATGAAGTCGTGTGAGATGAAAATGAAAATTTTGGAAAAAAAAATTAGAATGAAAAAGCAAAATATCGGTTCTTTATACTTATGGCTACGAATGGACCAAATATTACGGAGCGGTGGACTGTGATGAGGTGATGAAATGATGTAGACACGCAGTAAGAGCAAATCATTTGTGAATTTAGCAGCCACTGAAGTCGAGCGGTCGGGTCGCGAAAGCCCGGAGTCATCATCGCTACCGCCCGCCCGCCCGGCTTCAGCAACAGCGATCAAGGATGTTCCGTCATCATCGGCTAGATCGGTTACACAACTTGTGGGCACCCCACGTTCGGTAAAAGCATTATCTCGCTGTACCAAGTGCCCTGGTGACCTCTCTAGCCAACTTCAAAAAATCGATGCCCGGGCATCTTCCCAAAACGTGCAAAGTCGTTGCGGCCAACAATCTACTAGTGAACATTCACGATCGTCACGTTCGTCCGCCACCGTCCGTGCACAGAAGTTGGCCGTCGAAGCAGAAGTCTTACGGTGCCGAGTTGCCCGTGAGCGTGAACTCGCGCGTCTTCAGGCGAAACGCGAGCAGGAGCTCGCTCGCTTGGAATCTGAGGCGGAGGAGAGAGAGCTGCAAGCCAAACTCGCTGCACTGGATGCTAAAGATAAGTCTCGTAGCTCATGTTTTTCTAATCGCGATACTGAAATACGTACTGCGACATGGGTTTCAGAACAAAATGCAAACATGACCATGGCAACACATGTCGACATACCTGGTAAGCCACCGACTGTCACCTTGGAAAATACCCAGGGACTCAGTCTACAGTCGGCTGTCTTTACCAACGCGGTACCGTCTCATGAACCATATGTCAACCATGCAAACCATTCGAAATCCACACATGTCATTAGCAACGAAGACTGTGCAACAGTGGCACTGCAACGCTTACAACCTGATCGTCCATCGGCAGATCCTATAGTACAGCTCACTCAAGCTATTACTAGTTTATCTAACTGCCCAAAGAAACCAGAACTCGTCATTTTCTCGGGCGAAATTAGTCAATGGATGGCCTTTAAAAGTAGTTATGAAAGAACTAAATCTAGTTTTTCCGCAGCAGAAAACCTCACACGGCTGAATAATGCGGTTCGCGGACCGGCATACCAGGCCGTGGCGTCACTCCTGTGGACTTCTTGTGACCCACAAGACGTCATGAACGCATTGGAGCAAACGTACGCCCGACCAGAACTCCTCGTTGCTCGCGAGGTCGCCGAGCTACGCAATAGCCCTAAGTTAAGTTCCCCTGAACAATTAAATACATTAGCAAATAAATTACGTAACTTTGTAGTTACTTTAAAATTATTAAAACAAAATGATTATCTATATTCACCAGAGCTATTTCGCACTATTCTACTCAAATTAACCGAATACACGAGAGCTCGTTTTACAGACTTTGCCTCAACCTATATATGTGAGCAACAAAACGTGGCAAAATTAGACTTGCTATCGCAGTTTTTGCTAGTAGAAGCCGATAAGCAACTACGGTACAATTTCGTACAGGACAGTACCATTAAGCCACAAAATTCAACGTACCCTTCTAAGTACAATAATAACATAAAAAAGGAGACAGTACACGTAATGACCCCTAGCAATAAAGTATCAGAGTGTACATACTGCAAACAAGGTAGTCACAGTATAAAATCCTGTAAAATATTTTTATCTCTCACAGTAAATGATAGATGGCGTTGGGTTCGAGACGCGAAGGTATGCTACCGCTGTCTTAAATCAAATCCACGTAAATGGACTAATTGTCGTAGTAAACGTTGTGGTGTTGACAGATGTACAAGACGCCATAATTCGCTTCTTCACGGTACCACGCCTAATGAGTCTGGAACTAACTTAGCGACCAACACCCAACGCACCCAAATACTGACTGATAATTCAGATGGCCCAAGCAACATAGCTGATAAGACATGTAAAAATGAACCGATTAAAATCACAAATACGTCTGACATTTTAATCAATGCAGCAGATTCTTCTTCACGCCCACGCGGCCTCCTGAAAGTACTACCGGTTATCCTCGAGGGCCCCGACGGCGAATATGAAACCACGGCGCTACTCGATGAAGGTAGTACGGCGACACTAATTGACGACAAGGTAGCGATGCGTATCGGCGCCAAGCCCACCCGTCAAGAGCGTCTTCGTATTGAAGGTGTTAGCGGCATGTCAAAAGATGTAGATGTTGGTTACGTGAACTTCTACATACGTGGGCGTAACTTACCTGACCGCTACTTAGTGGAGCATGCACGCGCAATTAGCCCATTAAGTCTGCGCGTCCGGAAAGAAAACATCGTCAACTTTATGAAGTACCAGCACTTATCAGACCTATCTAATGAACTTTCCTACACTGATACCAACCCAACTGTTCTTATTGGAGCGCCCGACTGGTACCTATCTGTAAGCCGCGAGGTAAGATGTGGAAAGAAGAATGAACCTGTTGCCTCTAAAACACTATTGGGCTGGGTGCTCCACGGCGCACTGTCGGTTTCATCTCAGCCGATAGAATTTGTCAACCATATCTGTGACCACCTAGACTCTCTTATAAGAAAGCAGTACGAAATTGATTCCTTAGGTATAATGAAAAGCGTCTCACGCTTCAACAGTGATGATAAACGAGCGATAGATATCATCGAAACCTCGGCTCGTCAACTTGACGACAACCATTACGAAGTCGGTTTACCTTGGAAAAAAGACTTACCAACTATCATACCTGATAGCTACCCACAGGCATTATCTCGCTTCAGAGCTTTGGAACGACAAATGTCTAAAGACCAATCATTTGCCGCAGCTTATCATGACTTCATAAATGGCATTGTTACTAAAGGGTACGTCGAAGAATGCGACCCAAATACGTATTATAAACGAATGCCATCGAACGTTTCATGTGTTAACCCGGACGATACTATTCGTTGGTACCTGCCCACCTTCGGAGTATTTTCACCCCCAAAAAAAGAAGCTACGAGTGGTGCATGATGCGGCAGCAAAGACAAAAGGTGTAAGCCTCAACAGCCTACTCCTACAGGGACCCGATTTATTAGGTTCTCTATTAGACAATTTATTTCGTTTCAGAGAGGGCGCTGTGGCCCTAAATGCCGACATTAAAGAAATGTTCCCTCAAATAAAAATCGCTAAAAAAGACAGAGACGCCCAACGCTTCTTGTGGCGTAACAAAAACGGTATTCTCGTTGAGTACCGCATGAAAGCTATGATATTCGGCGCAGTGTGTAGCCCATTCATTGCACTTTACATTAAGAATAAAAATGCAAGGATAGCGGAAGCTAGATATCCTGCAGCATGCAAAGCTATAGTTGAAGATCACTATATGGACGATTACCTGGGTAGCCACCCTAATGTCACTGATGCCGCGCAGGTGGCATCTGACATAATTATGGTGCATAAAGCATGCGGTTTCGAAATGCGAGCATGGACTTCGAATAATTCACAAGCTCTCTCTCTTGTCCCCAAAGAACTCAGAAGTGAAGCAACCTCAGACGTATACTTACCACCAAACAATGATGTTGGTATTCTAGGCGTTAAATGGAATCCATTCCACGACTCGTTCAGCTTTCGTACAGGACTTCATATGCCTGATATTTTAACTAAACGTAGCCTACTATCTAGCGTTATGAAAGTTTATGACCCACTTGGCCTACTAACGCCTATTATAATTTCGGGCCGTATTTTGTTCCAGAAGTTATGGCGAGAAGGCATCGACTGGGATACCCCAGTACCTAATAAATATGTTTCTGAATGTACAGAATGGTTCACTCAATTACAGAGTGCCGCTAGCATCAAAATTCCGCGTTGGTATATGTTTAAATCAGATCCAATGGATATTCAGCTACACATAGTGGCTGATGGTGGTGAACAAGCATACGCCTGCGTAGCTTACTGGCGTTTCAATTACAATGATGGCTTCGTCTCTACAGCTCTTATAGGTAGCAAAGCACCATTGAAACCGCTCTCTATTCCCCGCCTGGAGCTACAAGCGGCGCTTATTGCTTCTCGATTCGCACAAACTATTTTACGCGCTCACCGTCTTAAACCCTCCGCAACTATTTATTGGACAGACTCCACCACCGTTCTTAAATGGATCCGAAGCGACGCTCGCACATTTAAACCTTTCGTTGCTCACAGGTTGGGAGAGATACTGGAAACCACCAATCCGTCCAATTGGAGATGGATTCCTACCTCTCTCAACGTAGCCGATGATGCTACTAAACCAAAGAAAATATTTTTGTCTCCTTCTCATAGGTGGTTTACTGGCCCACCATTTCTTTTAGAATCACCATTCTCTTGGCCGTGTGAAATTACCAGAGACGAGGATGAGACCTTACCAGATTCCGAATTAAAATCAGAACTTGTGGGGCTGCTCTCCTATGTCCCACTACCCTATGTTCTATGTTCTATGTTCCCGTACCTAACGCTACGCGATTCAGCTCGTGGCTACGTTTACTACGCACCACTGCCCGTGTTCTCCAAGGCGCACGACTTTTTCGGCTTAAAGTGTCTCGACCAATAATTTTAAATTCTAAATTATTTTTAGATGGCAGCATCACATCGCCCTCCCAGCTACATGCAAGAGACATCATACAAGCCGAAAAGATGTTATTTCAGGGAGCTCAAAAGGATAGCTTCCCTGAGGAGCTGAGAGCCATACAAACTATGCAGCCCGTGCCCAGTAATAGCCGTATTGCAACACTCGCACCAGTACTCGACGGAGATGGCTTACTTCGCGTGGATACCCGTACCAAGTCTGCTCCAGGAGTAAGCGAGAACGCAAGATCACCAATCATCCTGGACGGTCGCAATTACAGCGTACGACTCTTAATATTACATCAGCATATTCAATCAGCACACTCATTCAATGAGCTCATCCTAAATGAATTAAGGCAGAAGTTTTGGATTCTAAGGGCAAGAAGCACTATCCGAAGCGTAGTAAATACTTGTCTGCAGTGCCGACGATGGAAAGGCAAAACAATCAACCCAAAAACCGGCGACTTACCATCACACCGGTTAGATCACCATAAAAGGCCCTTTACACATGTCGGCCTCGATTACTTCGGCCCGATAATCATAACTATACATCGACGCCACGAGAAACGGTACGTTGCTCTTTACACGTGCCTAGTGACGAGAGCAGTACATCTAGAAATGGTCACCTCGCTTTCATCTGATGTGGTCATTATGAGCCTGAGACGTTTCATAGCTCGCCGAGGATCTCCATCTACCATACATTCGGACAATGGTACCAACTTTGTCGGCGCCTCCCGTGAGCTACGAGCATTATACAACGACTCAGTAGTCAGAAGAATTTGCGACAACTCACAAAATCGAGTGGCACTTCATCCCACCAGCATCTCCGTTTATGGGCGGGGCCTGGGAGAGGCTGATACGTACTGTCAAAACCGCCCTGAGAGCCTGTCTAAACGGTAAAATATTAAAGGAAGAAACCTTAACGACACTCTTACTCGAAGCAGAAGCCATCGTTAATGCCAGACCGCTCACGTACGTCCCATCATCACTACACGCACCAGAAGCACTAACGCCATTCCATTTCATACTGGGTACTTCATCAACAGAACCTTGGACATGCTCGTTAACAGATGCCGACTTGGTACGAAGATGTGACTGGAAAAGAGTGCTGCGTCTTGCCGACCATTTCTGGGCACGATGGCTGCGTGAATATTTACCCACGCTCCAACCAAGAGGATCGAACAAAGAGGCGTTAAAAGTATGTGAGGGTGATGTGGTGCTTATCGCGGACTCTACTCTCCCTCGTGGCCTCTGGCCCCTAGGGAGAATAGTAAAAGTTTACCCAGGCCAGGACGGAGTGGTCCGCGTAGCGGACGTCTTCACCAAAGGCGGTACGTTGCGCAGACCAGTCCGCAAACTAATTTTATTAGAGACTGAGCCTCGACCGGCCGCCACCAGTTATTAGTGTTCCACTGGGGATCCGGTATATTGGCGACCGGCCGATGCAAACTCTTTAGACGTTATTGTACTTTTTTATATACATTTACTTTTAGAATATTCTTATTATTTGTAATTTTATATTTTTTTGACATATTGATTTATTGTTCCTTGCTCGCTGTTCAATACATATATTTCGCTACTAAATTCCGTGTCTACATCATTTCATCACCTCATCACAGTCCACCGCTCCGTAATAACTATGTTTGTTCTGGTATCGCTCGCGCAAAAACTACTACACCAAATAAGATGCGATTTTCACAGTTGCATTCCTGAATATGTAACTTATAAATTGGTTTTCCTACTTTTGATTGATATTCGCGTTACCTGTTACTACAGGTAACATATTTTTTTTGTAGTAAGACAGTATTTGTTTGTTTTTATTGTAAACTCTTTGTAAGCCAATTTAAATATTTCCTTTGTTTTCGTTTACTTTATTTACATCGCTAATAATCCGAATTTGTTCAAAAGTAAACTGAAAAATTTTCCCCCTCTCCTTTTTCTTATAATTGAATTTGTTGAGGGTTTCAAAACAGAGTTAGATTTCCCCCGGGGCCTTTAAAGAAATATTCAGAGAGCCACTTTTGATTTTACTAATAATTATACAAGTAAACATTAGAACTGATTTTTCAGTTTGTTTCTTTTTAGTTCTTAAATTAAGTTTTGACAATTGATCTTAGTAAATTTAGGTAATTTACAAACGACTAGCGATCCAGACCGGCTTCACACGGTTTGATAACATTTTCGAATGAATGAAATTTGAAATGAAATGAAATTTGAAATGAAATGAAATTTAAAATGAAATGAAGTTTGAAATGAAATGAAATTTGAAATGAAATGAAATTTAAAATGAAATGAAATTTGAAATGAAATGAAATTTGAAATAAAATGAAATTTGAAATGAAACGAAATAAAATTTATTTTCCAGAAACATTGTAGATAATATGTTGCATTTGTTTATTGAAAATAATCTATATATAGCCTATTTTACTCAGGGATTATCATCATCGTCACATCAGCCTTCAACTGTCCACTGCTGAACATAAGCCCCCGACTTAGGGGTTTTGCCAGTAGTAAACACGCTTGGCAGGTGGATTGGCAACCGCATTGGTTTTGGAGATGTTTTAAGTGGGTCGCTGCTGCCAATCCCTCGCCCTCCCTTAGTCGCTTCTTACGACACCTACAGGAAAGGAAAGGGTGGCCTATACTATGGCCTATACCGGGACTACACGGTAAATCACCACTCAGGGATATGCTACATTTATTGCTGAAAAAATGTTTGAAGTCGATCCAATAGTTTTTGAGTTTATTCGTTAAAAACATACTAAAATACAAATCTTTCCTCTTAATAATATTACTATAGATATCCATAATACTTCTGTAGTAACTTTCGTTTGTGTAAGTGAGGAACCAACTTCCATTTTAATTTAAGAAATCAACTTAAATGTTTTTAATATAAATATTCCAGATAGACTGCTATTCTGAATTATAAACAGTCACTATGATATTCATTTTAATATCATGTATTTTTTTTTCTATATATTTTTTTACAATTGAAAATATAGTTCTATTTTTAGTTTCATCATCATTATATCTTAGCGCAGGCGGAGTTGCCATTCCATTATCATTTGTAAAAAAAAACACCATAATTCTTAGAAATAACAATACGCGAGGAGTATATAGTATGTATTTAAGCGCAATGATCACCACTTTCCATTAAGTGAACTTTTAACTTGATCGCTATTCCAAATATCATGAAATCTGTTGCAAAACTGAAACTCTCCCATAAATTTCTTTAAATTTATTTTATGTAAAACTTTAATGTATTAAATTAATAATATATAAAAAATATGACAGAGGTAAGCAAATGTACAAACGCGAGCTTAACTCTACAAGAGTTCTCTTCCAGCAACATCCAAAGTGGAAAGGAGCATCGATGTCAGCGGGTAGAGCGGTGTACAGTATTGTGACAATTTTCAAACAAAAAGAATTCGACAAATTTAAGATTGTACATAACCAATTATATCATAGTTATTCATATTATATATATACACACACATACATATATACATACATACGAATACATATATAAATACATATACATACGTATATTTCTCGATATGTGAGTTGCTAAAACTACTTACTAACATAAAGAATAACGATAAAACTCCTTAGAACAAAGGGCATATTGGAGACCAGTAAAAAGTAGAGTAGTGACGCCTCCCACCAGAAGCTGAATATTTCAGTGTAAGGTCGAGTTCGCACCTCATAAACGTCGTGCGAACGTCGCAAAAACTATCATAATTCAACTCGACCCGCCCGTGATTTGCCTCTAGTTCGTATAGTGCTATTAATGTAACAGATGTGGCAAACGAAAATTCCTAGTGAAGTAAAGATTATAGTCACCTTTATAAGAACAGCTGTATTCCATTTACAATGTTATATTTTATTAACTGTTTTCCGGAAATCTGTATATAAAATTCTAGGTGTAACATATCTGGGCAGTAAATTTCATTGAAATCCATTCAGAATATTTTACATGAAAGTATAACAAATATTCATCCATTCAATCCTTACAAATTTTCTATTTATAATATAAATAGTAATAAAATAAATATTTTACAAGCGATAGCATTTCAAAAAGATATATTAAAAACCAGTTTTAATCCGCAAGTTTATCTGTTCAGGATACATACATATAAATTAACAAGAATAAAAGTAACTTAAGACTATCTCCATCATAAGTATTCATAAAACTTCATAATAATTAGATAAATCATCACTATTTCAAGAAGTAACAAAAAACAAACTTTCTCTATTCTCTTAATATAACATTTTATATTATCCTAAAGACAAGCAAGAGATTTTTTTTTTTTAATTATAAATGATTTAGACATTCCAAGTTCGTAATACCATCTAACCGTTTTGTATTTTTTTTTATCCGATACAAAAGTATTTAATAAAAATTTATCTAGTAAAAAGATTTTTTTAATTAAATACCTTTTCATGGATATAAACCATAAGTAAGTCCCTATTGACCCCTTTTCATGCCCATTCTATATGTTTGAAAGCTTTTTTCATGGGATGCTCCGCTACAGTTGTTGAACATAGAAGAGTGAAAAAGGTACAACCTCCTTTCGCTTGATTTGTCACCGTCCTTTGAACGTATAGTAAAAATGTATTATAAAAATATTATTCCACGCAGGGCATGGAAATATTTTCTATCTATACAAATACTTCATTCTGAAAAGTTTGTAAGTTTTAACTTCACTTTGTGGACTGAATGCCATTTTCCTTTTTACTACACTATTGAATTTTAATCGTTCGATACAAAATAGTGGCTACTGAAATACGTTTTTAATGACTTCAAAAGGAAATAGATTTTTTTTTACAGTAATTTCAATCAACTTACTCGTAAAACAACGAGAAGGTTCCCGATTCGTTTAAATTTTTTTTTTGTCGTTGTTACCTCTTAACTCCGTCAGTTTCATTGGTCTCCGTTTTGGAAGTTTCTTTTTTATCTAAAAGGATATACTTCAGAGATTAGTCCCATAGAAATTTTGTGAACATGGGTTTATTAATTACTTTTTAAATCAAAATAAACTAGTTCTCCCATAATTGAAGTAGATTTTTTTGGAGCACAATTTTGAATGATTATAATACTTTTGCCAATTCTAAAATTATTTTAATAACTATTTTTGCACTCGACAAAGTTTAGTCTTTTATAAAATTTATCATCAAAAAGAAGGAGGTTCCCAATTCGGTTGTATTGATTTTTTTTTTTTGTTGAACCACATTTTAAATTGTGAAATGCCATTTCTATGAAAGGATATCCCAAAACTAATTAATTAAAATCTATTTTAGCCATATAGGTCCCAATATTAGACTTGTAAGTCTTGGCATAGAATTAGCCACTCCTTCTTTTCCTGTGGGTGTCGTAAGAGGCGATTTAGGGAGCGTAAGGTGGAGTGATGAGCAGCAGCGTTCCACTTAAAACATCACCAAAAATCAAACTGCCAACCCGCCTGCCAAGCATGGCAAATAATGGCAGAACTCCCCTTATGGGGGTAGCTATGTTTAGCATTGGACAGTTAATGGCTGATACAACTATGTGGCTGGCATTTAGAATGCATGTACGCATAGACTACTTTTCAATTGACTTAAAAAAAAAACTTTTCAATTCGGTTTTATTTTATTTATTTATTTAAAAGAACACCAACAGCATATTGCATTATAACATATATAACAAACATTAAATATAATACAATATTAATGCACATGCCTAATAAAGGTATTCACAGCATTTACTTTAACATAGTTATACAGTGCGAGAAAATGAAGTAACAGTTATAATGAATTAAATAACACTAGACTACAAATATTTTGACAGTTGCGTTTTTAGTTATAGAAATCTACATGTAACCTGAGTTGTGAGCAATATCAGTAAATACGATTTTTTTTTTATGTTTGTCAATTAACGATATACATAACGAATTGTAAGATGATTCCTTTATCTGATACTATATACTTACAGATTGGTCTCGCAGAAAATTTATGAAATGAAATGAAATGAAATGAGATGAGATGAAATGAAATGAATGAAATGAATTTATTTTGCTAGAATGTAAGTAGTTTTCGATGAAAGAGGTTTACATTTCCCATATACATTCTGCCTCTATGTCGGCGTGCAAATTATTAACAATGTCAGAAATTTATTTATTCTACGCTATATTTCTTTTCATTAGTCATATAAACCAAATACATACATAATTTATTACAATAAAGAGAAAATAAAATTTAAGAGCAAACGTGCCAATTACATCTTTAGTATAGGTTGTCAAGTACATTTGTTTTTTTTTAGTAAAATATTCATTGATATTATAAAAACTATTAAATAACAGCCAATCCTTAAGTTTACGTTTAAACACAGTATGAGTTGTTATTTCTTTAATGTAATTTGGTAGATGG